AAAAAAAAAAAAAAAAAAAAAAAAACAACCATGCTTTGTATGCAATCTATTTGGAACCATATGTTGTAGTTACAGAAATACTTAAAATATAGCTCAAGTTGTCTCTCTCAGTCCATTTTGCTGGAGGGGTGAAGGAAGGTCAAAATCTTGGTTTGGACAGGGAGGAAGTAGAAGCAAAGATGGTGTCACCTGAACAAATTCAGTCAGTTAGAATATTAATAAGTCTATACCGAAATTAAATAACTTAAGAAATTTCTTCTGTAATGTTGGGTCTATAGCAAAAGCTTATGAAAGACAAGCAAACATAAGCCACTGAGTTACTCTAACTTTACACTAATATATGAAAAAACTCACACAGCACACACACATGCCCCATGTAAAACATTGCTTTGAGTTTTAATGTTTATTTCCCCCAAGACAGCCTAGCCTGCACTCTACTTGGATAAATTTTACAAGCTAGTTTTCTGCTGCTTCTAGTTTTAAACTTTAACCATGTTTCTGATGACAAGGAATGCTGCAAAAATACTCTAGTTCAACAAAGAGTTATGATCACAAAATAATTTTTATCCATTCTACAGTGTTTCAGAATTACCAGTTGATTTTTAAACACAAAGTAGATATAGATGCTAATGGTGGCTAATCTGGTATGTTTCTTATAGCAAACTGTTGTTCATGCAACACTTGTGCTCAAAGGGGAAGGCACAGGATTTCCTACAATGAGCCACCTTATAAAGAGTTCTTTTTGTACAAATTAATTTATGTCACATTTAATTTAGTGTGCATAACCTCGAAACTGAGGTATTATTCCAATTTATAAAAACCACTTGCATAACTTTTATGCAAGTTTTAAAAATACAAAGTTTTCTCCCTAAAGTGGCTCAAAATAGATTGTTCATGGCTGCCTACATCTAAGATAAAAAGATTCTAAAACAACTGAACAGATTAGGCATATTATTAAAGGTGTTCAAACCATTACTTGATTTGTACATCTACTCAAACCTCTTCATCGGTCTTTATTCAGCAGTACATATGCACCAAATTCCATTTTAGAAGTTTCCATATCATTTTCATAGAAAACAAAGTTTGAAAACAAGTAACATTTAAACACAGCACGGTATTCTACCACAACTGAAACTTTTTTCTTCTTCTTCTTTACAGGACTCAACAAAATCTAAAAATGAACTAGGCTGTAGATTTACCTCATGCAAAGATCTTTATGTTATCTCTGAAAATGAAAAGGATGGCTTTTTAAAGCACATTTTACTGTTTTATACTATTATGGTAACTTGTGTACTGCAACACAGTCTATTTTGAGGGAAATTTATGATTTTTTTTTCATGCAAAAATCTACACAAATTAGTTTTGATGATATGGAAAGCTTTTCATAGCATCAAACATTCATCTGGTGCAAATGCACAGGGAAACCTTCCTGAAAGTTTTCTGACTTGAGAAGCAACTAAAAAGCCATACTAGGTAAAGTAAATAAAAACTAAAAACAAAACAAAAACCCCACAAAAAAAACAAACAAACAAAAAAACAAAACAAAAACTAAAAAAAAAAAAAAAAAAAAAAAAAGGGGGGGGGAAAAAAGGGGGGGGGGGGAAAAGGGAAAGGGGAAGAGAAAAAGGAGGGGTGGGAAAAGGGAAGAAGGGAAATAGAAAACACAGGCTGCAGAGTACACCAATGTCTGCTGCTGAACTGGTCTTTGTTTTCATGTCCAGTGTACAGTAACACTTATGATCTCACTTTGATGATTTACTAGGTTTGTTATCAGCCCCCTGAAGGCAAATCAAGCTTGCATGCGTTCACATACAGCACCACAACCATACTCTCGTACACAGTCACTCCAGGACTAGGAGTCTGCTTCATGAATGAAGAGCCCTAGATTTCAAAGATGAACCTGGCTCTCTATCACTGAGCCAGACATTCATTCAACATTGTCCATTCACACACTGCTTCATAGCAAGGCCTGGGCTCATTTTCCTTTGACTTATATGGGCATCCTATTCTCTTTTATGCTTACAAGGCTTGAAGATGACATTACTGCACTTTCCCCTCAGCTGATATAATGTCAATGTTCCTCCTCAGGCACTGAAGATCTGTGACCTGTAGCCCTTTTACTCTGAACAACCTAAATAAGCATTCATGTAAAGTTTTCATTACATTTTGCCACTCATTCTCACTCGCACCCACTCGCCATCTTGACCTCATTTGGGCATTTTCTGTGATTCCAAATGAAATCTTCACATTTTCTTTCCCGATTTAATGCAGCAGCAGATCCCATGAGCCAAGCTTGATGGATCAAACCTTTTTATATATATGTGTGTATATATATATATCTCAGTGCTGCATTGTACCTAACTTCCACAACATCTTTCTAAAACTGGAACCCTTCTGTTGGTACATTGGCAGATGAATTGAAACCAAATGTTCCACCTTGTATTGCCTCTGGAACAAGACTAGGATCTTCATCAATCTAAGGGAAAAAAGGAAAAAGAAGGTGATAATTAGTTTAAAAAAAAACAGCACTGTAGTACTATTTCCATTTAAAAAGTATGGGAGGGCTTCCCTGGTGACGCAGTGGCTAAGAATCCACCTGCCAATGCAGGGGACACGGGTTCGAGCCCTGGTCCCGGAAGATCCCACATGCCGCAGAGCAACTAAGCCCATGCGCCACAACTACTGAGCCTGCGCTCTAGAGCCCACGTACCACAACTACTGAGCCTGAGCTCTAGAGCCTGTGCTCCAAAACAAGAGAAGCCACCGCAATGAGAAGCCCGCGCACCGCAACAAAGACCCAACACAGCCAAAAATAAATAAATAAATTAAAAAAAAAAAAAGTATGGGAGATGATGGGTGCCAACACTGTCCTACCACCCCTTTAGAAACCTGAAGCACTTTATAAAGGCTTTTTCTTAAGAGATGCCAAAAAGAGAGGAAACTTAAGAGAATATGCAAAACGTATATCTTCTGAAAGAATGAAAGAGAAGTAATACATTGGAGACGGTCCTACATCTCAGAGTATACTCACTGTAATGCTACCACTTTTGGAGAGTAAGTGTATTCTTTGGTTTATCTTTTAATAGCAATTGGAGACAAATGACTTTTGAGCTTCAAGTAGTAAAATAATAGCTCTGCTAAAAATGTATAATATTCTTTCTATATGCTTTATATCTAAACGTTGAAATACCACAAAATTATGCACCTATAAGTGTAGTTCCTATAAATAGGCACATCATCTTTATTATTCTTTTCATTATGCAACAGAGTAAACAAGACCTGCACGTTGAAGTATCAGAAACCATAAGGCTTTAAGTATACCTAATTATCAATTAGGACTTCTAAAAATCCAACTTTAAGACATGTGACAAAAACTACCTTTAAAAAAGTATGCTTTTCAACTAGTATTACATTTTAAATAGGACTCAGCTTGATAATCTGTAATTCTTCTTTAGTATTGTCCTTGTCAAGTTAATGTTCAAATCACGCATGCTTAACAAAATATTTAACAACATTCCATTTTTTTTTGAAAAGTTGAGAAAATCATTCAAGAGATCCACTGGTGGTTCTATCTATAATCACTATAATTTTCTAAGAAACAACTGCTTTAATTTTAGATTTAACTTTCCCAAAGAGGTGATACTAAAAATAGTTCTTTAATTTCAACTACCATATACTGACAATCTGAAGATACTCTTCTGGACTATACCTTACATTATATAGTAATATATATATTATTATAAGAAATACTTAATATTTCTTGATAATTTTTTTCATTTTATCTATTTATCTTTGTATTCGTTTTTGGTCACCAACTAAAAAGATCAGTGACAATATATTCAAATACAGATTAACTAATTATTGTCATAATGGATTTATTATAGGATATACTAGGCTTCACTGTTTTGTTTATAAAGACATCAAGGGAAAATAAAGCCTGATTTATCCACTGTCAAAAATTCTTTTTTTTTTTTTTTTTTTTTTTGCCATTAGAGCTAGTACTACTTTTTAATACCTTGAAGGACTTTAAAATACTGAAATATTTGTATTTCTGAAATAAGTAACATTACTGTCATATATCTATTTCAATTCCATTCCCCCAAAATACATACATATATGTCCTAGCTTACATTTCATCCAGACTTATGTTTATACATAAAACTAAGAAAATTATAAAATTATTAAATACATCATCTGAAGAGAAGAACTGATCAATGATCTCATAGGCCAATTTGTAGATGTCTTCATTTTCATGATTTTGAAGTTGTTCAATTTTCTCCAGTCCTGTAAGAAATTTTATGAAGTGAAATAATGGTAATATTTAAAAAGCAGTGACAAAAAAAGTTACAATAATCTTGGGAACACAAAATCCAATTTTGAGGAATCTATTCTAAAGGTGAATCTTATAAATAAAAAGGTTTTATGCACAAAGATATAGCATATTTATCTTAAAAAATTATCTGAGTATCTAACTACATATAAACATAAGCAATGGGACATCTATCTACTCAGCAGAATAACTACACACATCAGTGTTTATAAAGAGTAATAACATGTAAAACTGCTTTGTTAAAAGTTAAAAGCTGGGAGATCCCTGGTGGCCAGGTGGTTAGGACTCTGGGCTTTCACTGCTGTGTGGGCCCGGATTCAATCCCTGGTCGGGGAACTGAGATCCCACAAGCCATGTGGCATGGCCAAAAACAAACAAACACACACACATCCCCAAAGATGCAAGGAAAAAAAAAGTTAAAAGCAAATTCCTTCTACTTTGTAGCATCTGCCAAGTTTTTCTAGTGAGCATTTAGGAAAAGAACTTTTAAGTACTTGTGATTAATAAATATGAATGTTAAGACAGCTATTAAAGTATAATGAAAAATGATCAAGATCAACCACAGTATTTCAGGGGAAAAGGGAATTTTCCCTGTAAATATTAATAAATTTATTAAATTATAGGCAGAATATATAAAGTTAACCGATTGATACGCAAACTGGATATTGTTTTGCTTTATAGGAGTAATAATTAATTTTAAGGCCTCTGAATTAAAGTGAAATTGCCCTTTCATGAGTGTTCTCTATTCTTTAAGTGGAGGAAGTTTTATGGGCATGTTTCTCACTTTTCACATTCCCTTTATGGGGCCCTTCCATGAAAAAGTTTAACTACTACATATAGGCTGAGGACTTATAAATCTATGGCTTCATTTCTTTTCTGAGCTTCAGATGTTGAAAATCTTAAACATGTATGATAATTCCACAAGGATATTTCAACAGGTATCTAAAACTCAAACTATCCAAAACACAATTTGTTATTTGCCACTCTTCATTTACACTATTATACTGTATTCTTATTGGTGATAATCAACAACAGTTTGAAATCTGAGAGACAGACTAATAAGTTCCTGTTACCCTCAATACTCTATAATCAAATCTCAGAAACCTTAAAGTCTATTCATTTCTTGAATCTTGTCATCTCCCCTTTTTCTCTATTATCACTGCCTTCATTTATTGTGGCCTCACCACAATATATGGAAACCACCTAGGTGGTTTCCTGCTTGTCTCTAAATGGTTCCATTCCCCTCATATCCATGGCTCTATTTAAATACATCAATTCACTAGGTAAAATCTTCCAACAGCTTGTCATACCCTACAGCAGAATCCTTTGGGAAGTTTATAAGACACATATTCCTAGGGCTCGCCTCCAGTAAAGTAGGCAATGCTCAAGATCTATATTTTTAATATATAAAAATAAATTTTTAATAATTTAAATGTTTATATGGTAAAAGAAAAAAAACATACAAGTAGGAAAATTTTTTAACAATTCCTGCTTTTAATTTTTCTGGTACTCCCTTTCTAATTATTTCCCTAACAGTATTCCCCATGTCCTGTTCCCAACTTGATAGTTATGCATTTTTTGTTTCTGTTCTATTTGTCACTTTAATAACTTTAAAAATACTTACTTCTTATTAATTTTCAAGCCTCTGAACTCTACTAAGGAAGCTGAAGATACTGGTTCTCCTACTCTTAGTTACCTCTCCCTCCTTTCATTTACTTCTCAACTTCCATCAGAAAGATCTTTACTTTTATGCTTATCCAGGTTGATAACATTTACATGTTATTCCACAGACATATCTGAGACTTCCATGTTCTGTCTACATGTTAATCCTAAGGGTTGAAAGCTAAGACATGTTGTTTACCTTCCTGGTGGCTCTGGTACACTGCCAGATTTGGGAACCACTGCTCTAAAGTATCTGCTGTGCTACAAAGCTTCTAAGACTGCAGGGGCCTGGTCAATGGCTAAGTCTGCAGCCTTATCTTTTGGCAGTTTCTACCTCATATTTTGTGATTCAGCAACACTAAACTACTTATAATTTGCTGAATGCTATTTCTCACCTCAGACTTTGCTCATGGTGTTATTTCTGCCTGGAACACCTTTCATCCCTTTTTACTTTATTAATCCTTATTCATGTCTCAAAATCCAGCTCAGGTGTCACTTCCTGCTTCTTCCAGGATGGATTAGGGTATTTCCTTTTGTTGTACATTTCTATTAGGGTAATTAGCACATTAAATCAGTTCATATTTATCTCCACGACTAGACTACAGGCCTTGAGGGAAAGGACTGTGTCTTGTTTACCACCATCTTCCCAGTACCTTAGCACAGTGCCTGTTCAATATATGGCAACAATTCAGTTACCTAAGCATATGCAAGAAGCTGAGCAGGAATACAGTATTTACTTTATTCTATTACTTGATTATCTAAGACAGAAAAATACAGAAGTGCTATATTAGAAAATAAAAGTAGTTACAAAAAGAACATTAAAATGTGGAATAATATCATTAGCTTATAATAAACTTACCTCCACATTCTTCTATAAGATTGGCTATGGTTTCTGCCTCATCTTCAGCCATTTTTAATATATTACTTAGTCCATCGAGTACTACTTGCACAACTTGTGCATCTTTTACAGTCAGCAAATTGCAAAAAGGTGGGATAACATTTTGTTGGATTAGGTAGGCCACCTGAAGAATGAAAATACCAGGATATGATAAGTGTTAAGTGAACTTCATTCGTGCACCCTATTATCTCACTGGAATAATTTTTTTTTTTTAATTTTCATTACTATCTAGCTAGCTAGCTAGCTGCGTTGGGTCTTCGTTGCTGCATGCAGGCTTTCTCTAGTTGTGGTGCGTGGGCTTCTCTTGTTGTGGAGCACGGGCTCTAGGCACGTGGGCTTCAGTAGTAGTAGCACCCGGGCTCAGTAGTTGTGGCTCATGGCCTCTAGAGCACAGGCTCAGTAGTTGTGGCGTACGGGCTTAGCTGCTCCGTGGTATGTGGGATCTTCCTGGACTGGGGCTCGAATCCATGTCCCCTGCATTGGCAGGCGGATTCTTAACCACAGCACCACCAGGGAAGTCCTCACTGTAATAATTTTGACTTTAAAATCTTGAATATGGAAATATGACCTCACCTCTCACATGTTAAGTTAGACTACATTAATCTAACCTTCTTTTCTTTTTAATGTAGTATGTTAATTTTACATGAACTTAGAAAAAAAAACTGAAGTGAAAATGAAGGAATCACTCAACTTCATATAACACATTTCTTTGCCATAAGGAGTACTTCCTTCAGAGATCCTTTCTAACATTAAGAAATTATGAAATCAGTTGAGAGGCTGGATGATTATTTTTTTAAAACTATAATTGTTCAATTTGAGAGCATCCTCTCTTTGCTATAACATTTAGCACTCATATATACCTGGCCACGTCTCAATTTGCTATTCTATTGGTTCCATAAAATTTGCAAAATATTCTTCTATCATTTTTTTATTTCCATGTATTGTATTTATATTCTACTCTGTATTCATATTGAGTGGATTCACTGGTCACCACCAGTCTATACCTTATTTGTGACAATTATCAGCTCCAAATTCATCCTTTTTCACTTGTCTGTGAAACATATCTGGGACTTTTTTATTTTTTTAATTTAGTTTTGGCTGCACAGGTCTTAGCTGCGGTATGTGGGTGTTCTCTTCTCTAGTTGTGGCACGCGCGTTCCAGAGCGCGTGGGCTCAGAGTTTGCAGCAGGCTCTCTAATTGAGGTGCATGAACTCAGTAGTTGTAGTGCAACTACATCGTGTAGCTGTAGTGCATCGAACACATGTCCCCTGCACTGTAAGGAGGATTCTTTACCACTGGACCACCAGGGAAGTTCCCCACATCTGGGACCTTTAAAACTCATTTTCTTTCGCCAGTTGGCATAATGTTAAGCTTTGTCACCTGCACAACTGTGAGAGTAGGTGTCTCTTTATATTTTGTGCCCTAGGCACCTCACATTGTTCACCCTAGTTCTTAGTCCCAGCTTTTTGGTTGAGTTTAGTTCTTTGTTTGGTTTGCTGCCAGATAATTTTTGTTGTTGTTCATTTGTAAGGAGAATCTGTGAGGCAGTTTCATTCTGCCCTATTAACCTAAAAAGTCTTGTTTTTTTCTTAACACTGTTAAAAAACAAAAAAAACAACCCTGACCGTAAGTGCTTCATCTTACCACGGATTAGAAAATTCTTGTAGGCCAAGAAGCTGGAAAGAAAACACTTCACATCTATGAAATATAACTAAAGGAAGTCAAGGTGACACTTTTATATATCACAGAATGCCTATTACCTTGCTATTAAATTATGATTTACTAAAATCTAAATCTTAGAATTATTGGTAGTTATTTTATCAGTTTTGAGAAATAAATAAGAGCTGAACTTACTTGATCTTTCCTTCCGCTAATTGTTAAGTTACTTATGGCCCATGCAGCTTCTTTCTGAGTGCCAAAATCTCCCTGTAAAAGCAAAGTAAAGGATACAAATTGCAATATAGGGTAAACTGGAAAAGGTGTTTTCTGAAATGATTTTTCAACTGCTTATTCCCCTAGGTTTTCTTCTAGCCTTTCTATATACATATAATAAAGATAAGGCTTTGAACTCAAATTACCCTAAACAAATGGAGATTCCTTTTTGTGAACTTTCCCAGCAACAAATTGACTTGGTATTGCTGTTCAGTAATATCAGATTAAATGAAGTCAATGATAAAATAAAATAAAATCAGTCAAAAAAAAAAAAGGAAATATACAATTGTACTTTAATCAAAGAAATGTCAAGGGTAAGGTATCCTTTTAAACACATAAAGTTTTAAAAATGAAAATACCCACCATTAATGAGACTGTCATAAAGACATTACCCTCATATAGTCTTTCAAATATAAATTGATAAAATAAATTTTAAAATCACTTAAAAAGTCATATATATGATTTAGTAATCTCACCTTTCAGAATTTACCAAGCAAATAATTCAAAACGAATATTATGTATCTTTCCATATAATGTCTTAACAGCACATAAGAGTCAGAAAGTAAAAGCAACTTAAACAACAGAGGAATAACTAATTATAGTAAATCTAAAGAATAAAATAATAACCAGCCACTAATGTTAAGATGACTAGCAACGTGGAAAAATGCTTAGGATGTATTAAGAATATGTAAATAAGAATGAAAATTAAAACTGCAGTGGATTAACACAACACTGTAAATCAATTATACTTCAAAAAAAGAAAAAGAAAAACTGCAGTGGGATATCTACTCTTATTTATCAGATTGAGAAATCCCAAATATGTGCTGATGAGAGTGGCAGGAGTGTAAAACGGGACAATCTTTCTAGAGGTGGATGGGCATTATATAGCAAATTTACATATGTGTCTATTTGTAGATCCAGTAATCCTAAATACAACCTGGCAAAAAACATGGAAAAAACTTTACATAGGCATTTCCTTATATTTAAAGTATAAACAATAGATGAATAAACCAAAAACTAATAAAAATGATCATCTGTAAAGGAAGGGAAAGAACAGGGAGGAATGGACAGAAACAGAAGTTAGACCTCTGTATATATACCTTGAAAACAAAGTACATATTTTTTACTTGGAAACTATAAATGCTTCATATAACCACAACAAAATAAAAAACAAGGGAATTCCCTGGTGGTCCAGTGGTTAGGACTCCATGCTCTCACTGCTGAGGGCCCAGGTTCTATCACTGGTCAGCGAACTAAGATCCCACAAGCCACACCGTGTGGCCAAAAATAAATAAAAATAAAAAACAAAACCTAAAGTAATTCCCCCAAATAAAAAACAAACAGAAATAACCTAACTGTATATCAAGTTGTATATGTTAACCACACATAACAGGAATTATTTCAAGTGACATTATTTTTAAGTACATCATTGATGGAATACATCCTAAAGACAAAAAAGTCCTCAAGGAAATCTCAAAAGTGGAGTAATCATGTTGTTAGTGTCAATGTAGTCTTGTTATTTTGATAGATTTCATATTATATCTCAATATATAACTCAAATAATTATGTTCATGTTTTTGGAAGATTTCCAGCGTAAAAGAAATAAAAATATGAAATCGAAGAAGTAAAAATAAAAACACTGCTATCTTAAATACCCGGTAATATCCGATAGCTTCCTTTCATTCATGATTTGTTTTTTATGAATCTCATGTTCATAAAATTACAATATGCATATTTTTCACTTTCTTAAAAAAAAAAAATCACCTATTTTGTTCATTCAAGCCTACATACCATGACAACCTTATAGCAATGATTATCCTTAGTACCTGAACTATGATCTTTAAATACCACTTGCTACAAAAAGGAACCAGGACACCCTGGAAAATAGTTAATTCCAGGCGTAGATCAGAAAATATACAAGGTAAGCCTGGGAATCATATCACATCCAAAAGGTAGGAAGCTCTCAAAAACTACTGCAGTGATGTAAAAAAGACACAGGCACCAAATTTAAGAGGTTTCCATTGGTCAGGGACAACCTGAACGTCAGAAAGAATAGCTACAGAGGACTAAAACTTATATAAAAAATATATGTAAATCCATAATTTCCTTAATGACACTAAAAACTTTACACTCGTCTCCTTTTGAGGTCATTAGGGAACCATGTCATTCTAAAAACAGTGATAATGAGCAGGAATCAAACATTTGTCTTGCCTTTCCTATATGAAATATATTTTAGAGTAAACCAACAGTTGATAGGGAAAAGCTCTTTTTTCTTCTTTATTGAAGAATCATGGCTAATACATAAAGAATGGCAGAATTACAAAGTCATCATTTTGCAGTTCCTAGTATAATAAGTGATCTAGGTAATGATCATCATGACTGCCGAAAAACCATTATGTGAAAGAATGATGAATAACTTTATAATAATTGGCTGGAACAGGCTGATAACACCTGAGCTGACTTAATCTAAATATCACTAAATGTAGGACAAACAGAATGTTTCTCATGTGAATCATTAGTGCATGACTGAACCCGATCTACCAGTTTATAGGAAATTAGCCTCTACTACCAGTTTGTAGGAAACATGGAAGAAAAGAAGATCGAGATATCCTCTCTTTAATTAACAGATCAGTGTTGAGAAAAAAACCCTCATGCTGTGAGTGGACACTTTAAACTGTCTCTTTCCCAAACGTTAATGTAAGCATGCAATGATATGGCGTATGATTAAATAGCACACTTACTTGCTGTTTGATCTTGGGCAATTTATTTGTCTATACCATAGTTTCTTCATCTGTCAAATGGGAATAATTCTTAACCTCACAGAGTTACAGTAATAAAGAAATGAAGTAATATATGTAAAGTGCTTGGTACAATATGTAAGCATTTATAGTCAGCAGTAGTAATATAAATTTTTAATAAACTTCAGGATAATGGTAATTTTGATAAAAGAATGATATAGAAAAAGGGCCAGGGGTTTCTAAAAGGAACTATTTCCTGTATATAAAAACTGCTTGAAAGTTTTAATATTAATACTAGTTTACTGTACTACTCATGCCATTGTATAGGTTGTAATTAAACAGAAAAATATATATTCACATAATTCTTTTCCTCTTACACAGAACATACAAGATGACTTTCTTACCTTATCCAAAAGGTGTATTATCATTGGTACAAGATTGGCATCAATTACTGCCTGAACCTGCTGCTGATTTCCTGCGGTGATGTTAGAGAGGAACCACACTGCTTCCTGTAGAACAAGACCCTTTCAATATTTCTCATTAAAAAATAAAATCTGCAGCTGAACTAGGAAAAAGCACATTCACTACAACGTCCAAATGATTTTATGGAGTATGTTCCATAATAAACAATTTAGGAATCTGAATTCCTCTATCCCCTTTCCATATTTTTCTTTGGACAAATTGCTAATGACCCTAGTCTAAGTTATAATGAACTAACCCTTCTAAAAAATTCTTGAAAGCAATGTTCCCAAACACTAAGACTCAAAAGAAGCTTGGCTGAACAAGTACTAAGGAACTGATGAGCTGCAATACAAATACAAATCCTAAAACAATTGTAAAGGAGATTCAGCATCCTCCTCACATAGCGTGCTTTATTTATTCTCTCTTCTGTTCTGATAGAGTCGTAGCCAAAGTAGATATATCTCTCAATTATTCATGATAATGGAGACACAAAAACTGAAATAGTGGATTGTTTTAGTATGCTTATTTGTAATAGTCATTCATTGCACCCTCTCTCTCAAGAGTTAAAGTGGAACCAGATGTTTGACTGCTTTGTTGGTCTACCTTAGTGATCTTTTCACGCTACCCTTTACACCACAATGTGCTACTTCTACCAAGATGATTACAAGTCATTTTTTTTTATAGACAATAAATGCATACTAAAAACACAGAATGAAATAAGACAAAATATCTGCCTAATGTCCTACGTAGGATATTGCTATAATTTACCAAAGTTAATAAACTTATTAAACATATGAATTTACTAAAGGGAAACATTTTCTCTATTTTAAAAAAGTAGTAAACAAGTTTTACTCCTAGTGTGCAGTAGGCTCTTTTGGATCAGATCACAGGATCATGTTTAATGAACCTGTTAGAGATTTTAGGGTGCTAGGCTATTTAGGTGAGCTGTTCTTGGGTTATAATCATCGGCAATGTTGTAATCAACAACCCATGTATTTCTACAACAGCCTCAGATGCACTCCAACGTCAGCATCACCAGTCAGTGCCCCCTTTTCATAGCCTCCACAAGCACACACACGCACACACACTTTATCAAATAGCTAAAAAAAATTAAACTTAGATTACTTAACTTACATATTAAAATCTTCCAATCATACAACATTCAACACCCAATTATCTCTATTTCATCATTTCCAAGAGAGCCAAATGTGCACTGCTTACAATCGGTTTTATATATGGAAAATCATGTACGAATCCATGTCATAAAGAGTAAAATACTTTCTCTTAATGTCTAAATGACAGTTTATGTTAATAAACGGTATTAAAGACACTTGAGTCTCTAATTTAGCAAATGAAAATGGCTACTTTATATGCTAATTATTAAACAGTATTTAAAAATACTTACTTTATTAATTTTCTCTTTGGGATGTGTCAGAAGTGCGGGGAAGTGTGAAAGAGCATCACAGTTCAAAACTACTTGTGTTTGCTCATCAGTTCCAGTAACAATGTTGCCCACAGCTCGAAGTGCTGCTGTCTGAAACATAAAAAGATTTAATGAGATGTTGTTCTATATGAATCACTTATTACCACAAAGGTATGTTAGGCAGGTTATGAAAGATATATACATATATATTTTATATAAATTTGTTTTATTTATTTTTGGCTGCATTGGGTCTTCACTGCTGTGCGTGGGCTTTCTCTAGTTGCAGGGAGCGGGGGCTACTCTTCATTGCTGTGTGGGCTTCTCACTGAGGTGGCTTCTCTTGTCCGGAGGGCAGGCTCTAGGTGCATGGGCTTCAGTAGTTGTGTCATGTGGGCTCAGTAGTTGTGGCTCATGGGCTCTAGAGCGCAGGCTCAGTAGTTGTGGTGCACAGGCTTAGTTGCTCTGCAGCACGTGGGATCTTCCCGCACCAGGGCTCAAACCCATGTCCCCTGCATTGGCAGGCGGATTCTTAACCACCGCGCCACCAGGGAAGCCCCAGGTTATGAAAGCTATCTTTATGCATTCATGCCTACCTATCCTTTTTGAGCAAGTTGTGTCAGACACTGATTTAGGAACAGAGGAGTGAATAGGACAAACATAAACCAATCTCCTATGGAGTTTCCATTATTGTAAGAGGAAACAGCCAATAAACAAGTAAGTATGAAGGATAATTTTAGATAGTAATTATGGCCATAAAGAAAATAAGATAATACAAAAGTTTTTGTGGGAATATGTTTTCAGTTCCCTTGGGTATATACCTGGAAATGGAATTGCTGGGTCATATAATAACTCTACGTCTAACTTTTCCAGGTACTGTCAAACTATATTCCAAAGAGGCCGTACCATTTTACATTCCTACCAGCAATGTACAAGGATTATACTTTCTCTACATCCTTGCCAACACTTGTTACTGTCTTTTTGATTATACCATCCTGGTGGGTATAAAATGGTACTTCACTGTGGCTTTGATTTGCTTTGCCTTAATGACTAAGGATGTTGAACATCTTCGTATGTGCTTATGGACCATCTGTATGTCTTCTGTGGAGAACATTAAAATGTTTAAACCATTTAAAATTAGGTTGCTAGGACCTCCCTGGTGGTGCAGTGGTTAAGACTCCACGCTCCCAATGTAGGGGGCCTGGGTTTGATCCCTGGTCGGGAACTAGACCCCACACGCATGCCACAACTAAGGAGACCTCGAGCCGCAACTAAGAGCCCGCATGCCACAACTAAGGAGCCCACCTGCTGCAACTAAGACCCAGCACAACCAAATAAATAAATATTAAAATTGGGTTGTCATTTTTTTTGTTGAGTTTTAAGAGTTCTTTATGTATTTTGGACACTAATACCTTTTCATATATATGATTTGCAAACATTCTCTTCCATTCTGTAGGTTGTCTTTTCACTTTCTTGATTGTTTCCTTAGAAGTTTTTAATTTTGGAAGTCCAATTTATCTATTTTTTCCTTAGTTGCTTGTGGTGTCATATCTAAGAAACTACTGCCTAATCTGAGGTTATGAAGATTTATGCCTGTGTTTTCTTCTAAGAGGTTTATACTTCTGAATGTTACATTAAGCTGTTTGATTCATTTTGAGTTAATTTTGTAAAAATATGGTGTGAAGTAGGGTTCCAACTTCATTCTTTTACATATGGATATCCAGTAGCCTCAGCACCATTTGCTGAAAAGATTATTCTTTGCTCACTGAATATTCTTGGCACCCTTGTTGAAAATCAATTGATCATAAATGTGTAAGTTTATTTCTAGACTCTTGATTCTATTTCACTGATCAATATGTCTATCCTTATGCTAGAATCACAAAGTTTTGTTTTCTCTAGCTTTGTAGTCAAGTTTTGAAGTGAGAAGCCCCCAAACTTGGTTCTTTTTCAAGATTGTTTTGGCTATTTCTGGGTCCATTGCATTTCCATATGGATTTTAACAGGAATTGCATTTAATCTGTAGATAAATTTGGGAAGCACTGCCATCCTAATAATACTGAATCTTCCAATCCACGAACATGGATGTCTTTCCACTGATTTAGGTCTTGTTCAACGTGGCCTAGCTTCTTTAACAAATAAATTTAACAGGGGAAAGAAAAAAAGGAGAAGAAAGTTGCAGAATAACAGAAACATAAAGACATAGCTACCACATGCAATGTGTTGACCCTGTTTGAATACTGATTTGGTCAAATTGTAAAAAAAAAAGAAAAAATGAGGCAGTAAGTAAAATTCAGATACTGATTGGATTTTAACATTACGGTTTCCTAAAGTGCTCTAATTATTGGTATGGTGAATATGTTAAAAAAAATAGCCTTACTTTTTTAGAGATGCAACCTGAGTGAAATTAGACGATATCTGGAATATGTGTCAAAATAATTTGGTGGTGAAGTAGAGATATAGAGGAAACCTACATAGTTCATTACATTATTCTTTCTATGTTCCTAAATTATGGCACGAAAGTTGAAAAAGTTTTAAAAAATCTCTATTAGTTACCAGGTAAAGTACAGAACATAACTTTCCTTGAGAGTTGGCTCAAGTGAAAGTCCAAGCCCTATTTTCTCAATAAAGTCCAGTATTAAAACTGAAGATGCATTCTGAAAAAAACAAAAACAAAATGCAAACCAAAAACCTATACCAAGACATAAGTACCACACTTAAGAAATGCAAACTTCATCAGAATCTAGTAGGAATATTTAAAATAAACCACAAATAACCCTAAATGACAAATTATTCTATTAATCAATTCTTCTGAATTTAGCTAAGTGTTCCCTCTTTTTTTAAAGTGCTTTAAATTTTATAGCAGTGAGTCTCCATTTTGACAGTACATGAATATAACCTAAAGAGCTTTTTAAAGCCCAGGTTTCTAGGAAATATCCAGATTTACTGAAACAGTATTTCTAGGAGTAGAGCAAGGGAAATACACTAATTTTTTTTTCTTTAGGCTTCCCACTGCTGATTTTATTATCCAGCCATGGTTGAGAAATAGTGAATCAGGTTAACAGTTTTCCTTATGCTATTATTGTGCTTTATAGGCTCTTAGTCATTCTAAGATTAAAGCATGCTATTTACCTCAGAAGGATAGGGAGAGCTTGCTGCTTGCTGCATCTCCCTTTACCACTGTAGTTTGACAGCTACTGCTTATAATATTTGTGTGAACTTCTCACCTTCTCTTTTTTGGCTCTTTCTAGATGCAGATTCTTTGGGATAAATATTTATATGGAAGGATTTAAAAATAATAAAACAAAACAAAATTAAAGAAAAAGATTTTAAATAACTGAGAGAAGACAATTTAGGAAGCCCCTAAGCAGCACATTTCAGTACAAAGCCTTTATCACAGTGCCAGTGAAGCTAAGCATTAACTAAACTTGCCAGGTGCAGTGAAGGAGAATAAAAAAGGACAGCTGTTGGGGGGAGGGGGGTGGGGGAAGGAGCAGGAGAGTGGAAGAAGAAAAATAGGAAAAGTAGGAAAAATAATCAGTACTTGTTTCAGATGCTACCCAAGTTGCTATATGAACTGCCCTGGTCTACGTTAGAAATCAGTAATTTACAAAGAAGTCAACTTGGCTTTTTTGAGGGGGTTTGGGGGTGGGGAGGAGGAGGTTCTTGTAGTAATCTATCTCATTTTCTGCATCTTTAAAATGGGGATATAATAACTCACTCTTTTCATCACAGATACGTTGTTATTAGGCTAAAAAAATACTTTACACTATTGACATTACCCATGTTCAAATGTCACACTTAAAGCAAACAGTGACATGTTTTTATCAATAAAAAACTCACCTGAACCTTAACTTCCTGGTGGCTGAGCAGAGGAACCAAATGAGGGACTATTCCAGAGTCTATTACCATCTGTATCTGTTCGTTGCCAGCATCAGTAAGGTAAGAGAGGGCCCAGACCGTATCTACCAATATCTAATGAATAAAAATAATTCAAATAGTCTTTGAATATTTTCTCATTTCAAAAATTCTTAACCATATGGACTAACCTATGATTGTTCTACTATCTTCTTTCTTCCCTTTCCTCTCACCTAAATTCACTGGAATCAATCTTCTCTATTATACTAAGCATCATCATCTATGAACGTCTATATCAAGTGTGTGCATCTTATCTTCTAGCCATATTTAGGATATTTAGGTTAATTATGATCTTGTTCACAGATTGGTATCCACTCTTAACTCACAAAGATACAAACACATTACATAGCAAATAAAATATGAGAAAAAGACTTTCTCTTTCCTGAATGCTCAGATTGAGGGATACTAGGTCCAAGGACATTGTGATAAACACATGTAGTTGGAAAGAGTATATGTATCCAACATACAAGGTGGTTCAAAGCATCTGGGCTAGATGAATATATTCAAGGTGTTCTCACATCAATACCATGTTGGTAGGTCTAAAGCCAATACTCCAGTATTAGGATTACAGTACTTTCATCTTTTCCAACCAGTATGCTTTGCCTTATAAAACCAGAGGCAACTTCCCAAATAGGAATCTCCCACAGCTGCAGATCAAGACATTAAAAGCAACCATAGGTCAACTTGTGAGATCTATAATCAAAAAACATGTTCTAGTTAAAAAAAAACAAAAAAACAAAAACCAAGAAACAAAATAACCCCCCAAAACCAACCAACCAAACAAAACTATAATTTACATCAGCTGCCAAAAGTACTTAAAAAAAAAGCCTCTGTAATTAACTTATAATGATTATATTTCAAAGTACAACAGGCCATTGTGTTTCTTCTTTCTTTGTATGTGAAGTCCTAATTAGAAGTTATGGCCAAAACGAAGAATGACAAACAACTGTTAAACTGCTAAATAATACAATTATTGACAAAGACACAGTAATAAATAATTGTGCCTGAAACTTTACTTCCTTAAACTTTTCTGGAATATGAACTCTGTGTCAAAAGACAAACCAGAGAAGTCTGAAACCTTTAAATTCTAAATCAATGATATGTTTAAAACATCCAAGAAGCTCCTAGAAGAAAATAGCACTTTGCCATTTTTCCTTTCAGAAATTCAAGAAAGCACTACGGATGTTTTTAACGTAAAAAGAAGACACCAAATGAAAAATTCACACACATAAAGTGGTATCAAAATATATGAGACAACTAAATTTCAACTTACAAAAGTAACTTTTTTTTTGCCAAAATTTGTTGACATAGGCAAAAAAACTTCAAGTTACTTGTGCATGACTGTATGTAAAATCCAGATATATTTTTTAAAAAAGGCCCAATACTAAACATGTCATTAATATGCTCACATCAAAATCATAATTTGAATCAGACCTGATCTCATATGCACTTTTTGTGTCAGCAAAGTCTATGATAAGTTAACTAATTACAATCAGAGTGTAATTTCAATGTTTCACTTATGGTTTGTGGAAGCAGTTTCGTTATTTTATTTTTTTTATTTCTTTGATGGCCTGATTTAAGAACTTGCTTCTAAGTGTTAACCTAAGAAGATTTCATTTTTAGTAAACATTATTGTTTAGTAAACAATATTACTAATGCTACTAAAAAAGAATAATGCAAACTGGCTTGAGAAATTCAAGATATATCAAGAGCAAGAAAAACGGAGTTACAATCTCAAATGGATTGGGGTAAACAAGTGGAAAGAACACAATACATCTCTGAATAAGGTCAACCAAGATGTCTAGTTTTCCAGAAGAGTTATAAACTTTGAGATTAATCTTTCTTGGAAATCTTTTAATAAAAGTAAAATACAAAAAACTGTAATTTAATCAAAGAATCTGTGAGCCATGGCCGCTGAGCCTGCGCATCCAGAGCCTGTGCTCTGCAACGGGAGAGGCCACAACAGTGAGAGGCCCACGTACTGCAAAAAAA